TTAACACGTCCTGGAACACTGTCGCCGAACTATTTGCTGGAAGGCGGTAAGCCCGAACCACCCAGCTGGCACCACGAGGAGGTCGTTTGGCTAACCAGCCGAAATGAGCAGCGTACATGTTTCAGCCGTTATGCATAATGTGGGTGTGAACATCGAGTACACAAAGTGAACATCTGCCATCTTTTAATAAGTAGTTTGCTTATTCTAAGAAGTTGATCGAAAGACTATCGATGCTTTTAGTTGCAGTTGGACAGTTGGTGTGACTATAAGCAGTTTTCAGATGCCATATTTTACGAACGCCCGAGGAGGTCCTGTCTCAGGCGCTCAAATGACCGATGGTGCTGAGAGGGTTAGCCACTTAAGTAGTTTGCTCGTCGGAAGTTTCTTCCCGTTTGTTTGAAATACACGAGACCCGCCTTTGGCGCGCGCAACTCGACTCCGAACGACGCCCTGTAAACGCACTCGACGCCCAGCTACATGCTCACTAGCTAGCTCGCCTCTGGTGCTGCATTTTAGCTCTTCTGCCGTTCAATAAATCATTTCCTAGCTTATTTATGCGTGTTCTCCCGTACCCTCACGCTTGCTCGTTTAACCGCGTACCGGATATATATATCGCACGATCGACGCGCTATAGATACTGGATCGGGGTGTTTACTGCGCTGGTATGATTAACAAGTATGGTGATTCTTTAGCACGTTTTCGATATGCGAATCTATCTTTGGCAAACAACAGAAACCAATTTTTAAGGATTTCCTTCAAGAGACGCTAGGATGAGCACTATCCTTAATAGAAAGGAAAAATCGGGAATCCCAATACACAAAACCATCGAAGAAACTCAACTCATGTATATGTGCCGTAAATGGCTGAAATTTGGTGGCTTCAGCAGCACGGCCTAAGTTTAGGTACGTTAAGTTGAAGCCGACTTCATACCACACATGGATGCTGCCACCCTACTTCAGGAAAACCTATGTTCTTGTTGTCTGCTACTCTTTCGTCGTATTTCAACATGCTTGGCGAAAACCAAGAAAGCAAACAATAGCACTGTCACGTGGTGCTTAGTGATCAATGACTGAAGCTGGTTCAAGAGATATATAGTTTTCATGCGTGTGTAGGCACACCCAACCGCGTTTCTTATGCGGTATCACGCATCGCGTCATTTGTTGAGTATATTACATTTCTTACACGTTTTCCTTCTGCTGTCTTGGTACGCGCTAACTTACTACGGTTAACGTCTAGTCTTGACGTTTGGCGACGGAGGAGGGATAACATGCCTGCGCCGAAAACTCCACAAATCTTCCGGTCCTGTTCTACCGACAAACCGTCTTTAGACAATAGGAGTCGTTGGCGAAATTTTTTTTACTTTAATTGCTTCTTATCTTGAATTCGGCAGTGTATCACTTGGAGAAACACAAAGTAAAACTTTTATGACAGTTCCTTGGGGATGAAGGTCGGATATATTTCCACGCACTTCGTATTGACGAAGTCTGCTCTACTATAACAAGTGCCCTGGATACATTCAGCGCTCATTCGCGAGTCCGACATAGAATGTTTACAAGTATATACTTCTGCTCCAAACTCTTCAAAAAAAACAGATGAAAGTTAAACGAATTCATTGTTCGTATGCTCCGAAGTAGTTAAGTCTCACTCCAGAACGGCTCTCACAGGCACCAGTTATACATGAAAGGTTGGAGCAACAAGAACCATTCATGACCTTGGGCCATCGCCGAGTCATGGAGGAATTCACAGATCTCACAATATATTAATCGACTTCGGCGTCCCACAATGGTCGATGCTGATACATCTAACTAGATGGACGAATTGACGGAGTAAACACCGTCCACCCTTGCCATGGATCGAAAAGCTATCAAATGGGTGGTATTCTTGCAAGAATACTGTTAACCAACACAACGTTAGAGCAATTTAACAAGCTTGGAAAGAATTGCAAATAATATCCCCATCTCGAGGAGGTTGAACATTAAAACAATGCGATAATCAGCGTTTCTCCGTGACCCTATGCTGAGTCGCACTTTTCAAGTGTATTCAGAGCCTCTCATACCAGACAGGTCAGTGACTGATTAGGAGTCAGACCGACGCAGTCTCAGCATCCGATTCGGAGGTTAGGGAGAGACACTACCTAATGGGTTAAAAGCTTACAGCTCGATAAGCGTATAGAACACGTGCAAGTAATTGTCCCCGGAGATGAGAGAGCACCGCCTAATGCTCAATGATTTGTTGTCACCACCAGACAGTCCATGGTCAAATGGGTGCAAATCCGTCAATCCTCACCTGTCGTTGACCGTCGTCACACATGGGTTATGTAGCACGGTCGAAAAATACGTGGCAGGCACCAGGTCCTTAATGACTGAGTGTGATAAGTTCTATGTAGATACTAAACCGAGATGGATTTGCCAATCACTGTCCTGTAGGTCAGAATGTTGATTCAAATCACAATAAGCGCACCCAGATTAAAAGCGCTCTCGACCACGTCAAATTGCAGCACTCTTATTCTGTCTTTCGAGCAAGTGACTACTACTGAGATCGCATGCAACTCGTCACTCAAACCAAGATTGTCATTTCACATTGGTTCGTTTAACGACCGCACTGTGGGTCAGACGATCAAAAAGATAACACTAACTCGCACTCTTCGCTCCCTTGGTATTGAAGTGTACTGTCTCCGAAACAAGCAAAACAAGGTGAGAGTGTCAGTAGAAACCCTCGACTCTGTGGCTCCGAATCTGTGGACAATGACACTCTTCGCATCTGGTGATATTGAGTCAATAGATCAAGGCACTTGTGGTGTTGGCATCGTCCTCAGGAGACATACTGAAAGCAATCTACTCAATTTGATACTGATGCACAGCCACACGTGTGTGATTCGAGTTGGAATCACTATTGGGGTTAATAGGTACCCTGAAGACAATGTGTTTTTCCAGAGCTTCCGATAATGCCCTGTTGAATGAATTCAGAGGGTATAAAAGACAATTTATATCATCAGCCCTCATCTCCTCTCTGCTTGGCGATGTAAACTGATTTTGTAGTAATTGCTGGAGACATGAATGTACAAGGACTTGATTCCTACAACTATGTTCCTGCCGCACTTTGAATATTAGCACCAAAACTGAGCATACTGCTATCAGTTAAAGAGGGCGCAAATCAGGCGAAGACTGTCCGTTAAGTCAGATGACCCGTTTGAATTCCGCATATGCTATAGTGCGCGCACACACACTTGGTGATGGTAAAGCGCGCTACTGCGATCTTTAAGCGCACGCCAATGGCTACGAATTGGCGGGACCTACGTCCAATGTGCGCCTATGAGGAATTTATGGCGAAACAGTCCGTATGCAGTACGCCAGGTACTGCTAAGGCAATGCAGCAAGCTTATTTCGTACAGACACGTCTGGCCTCAAGTGCAGCATGAGTCAGACTCTGGTCGCAAAATGTCTGATTTGCCAACGAGTAAACGTTCTTCGATACGTTGCTTATCCAACTGGGCGCTTTCTGTCAGTATAAACCCGACTTTCCTCACCGAGACATCGCAGACTAATGTCGCCGCCCAAGATTGTAGTCTACATGGTGACCAAGGTGGATCGCGTCCGAGGCGGTCACCATTTCCATGGTATCAGTGGAGATAGCAACGAACATTGGTTAAGTGCTAGGTCGCTTTATACCGCTGTGCAGTCATTATGCTTATCGACGGAAGATCGCAAGTCCAATCTTTGACATTCAAAGTTCTCGGTTGTCAGCGCATCAGGACCAGATTACCATCTTCAAGTAAACAGTACAGTGAAACGCTACTACAGTTAAGAGCTTGGCTGAATGTCATCAACGCACTCCATTGGACAGAAGACCTGTCAATAACAATTCTAGACACCAGATCAGCTCCGAAAGTTGATCACCAAATGTCCACTGCAGAACAACTGCGACTACTTGGCGACTTCCACTTCTACAATACGATGCGCACTACGCTCGAGCATGCCCAGAAATAAAAGCGAAGATTCTCGTTCCGTTAAAGTCTCCGCCAGTGTCCATTCATCTCTACAGGCGTCAATGATCTATGTGGATCACTCGAACGATTACAGGAAGTCCCAGTCAAGATCCTCCAGTGTAAGGGATGCTACTTCGTCTTCGAATATAACAAGTGCCAGAAGGTCACAATCGCCTGCTTGCGCCGAAACGAATATGAACGAAGACTCTAGTGCACTAAACATATGGGGGAAGACAAGCCTGATGCAACCACGATTGACTCAAATGGAGACCCACCGGCCGAGACCTCGGACTCTACCCAGCCTAATAAGACTAGTAGATCTAGCGGTTAGGTTCCCTGGCCGACATATCTTTCGAAACAATGGAACAATGGTATATTTCGGATAAAAAAGCCAAGAACTCAAGAGTCCCGTGGAATGGTTTGTGTGAAGGTTAGTTCAAAGTTTTGCACAAAAGTGAAAATTAACGCATCTGTGGACTCGCTATATTATCCACGTTAACACAAAGGTATATCCGTCTAACTCGACATCGTGAGGTTGGTGAGCACAATGCTTGGCTGCGCCTTGTCCTCGCTCAATGAATCGAAATCAGCTCATGTAGGTGGTGTAATGTATCGTCGAGTCGTTTTAACAAAAATGGGCAGCGTGGGCGCATACATGACAAAAATCGAACAATGAACAATGAATTTATACCGATTAAGAAGCGTTGCTTTACAAGTCCTGTTGGATAGTTGCAGGGGATCTCAACATAACAATAATGATGATAAGGATAGTAAAATAGTTAATACTTTAAATATGAAAATAAGGACTTATCGTTTGCTTCGCTGCAGTCCTGCGATCCTCTTAGATTCACAGCACCCACAGTTAACAACAAATAATTCCATGGTAAACTCCAGGTGTAGGATGGAGACGTAGTGTTAAGTGACAAAGTGTAAGTGGATGAGTGCATCGTTCAACCGTCTTTTAAATCCTGCTAGTCTCGGTGAAGAGACGAACGATTTTGGGAGAGCATTCCACGGGTGACAGACACGAATGGAAAAGAAATTTCTGCGGCACTCCAGATGACTGTATTGTTCTGCGAGTTTTAATGAGTGGCCCCTCAGGTTTGTGTTGCTGCTGAGTTGCAGAAAAGGGCGGCACACATGATGTGGGTCTCGCAGGATCAAGTATGTCATAATCAGGTCGCCTCGTAGCCTGCGATAGCTTCCACTGAACAATCCTAGTCGTCGCAGCCTCTCCTGGTAGGAAAGATTGCGCATTCCAATTACCTTCTTAGATGCCCGGCGTTGTGGCTGCTCCAGTGCATTAAGGTCGTGTTTCAACCATGGATACCAGGCTTGAATTGCGTATTCGACATGGGGGCGAACATACGCACTGAGCATTTGTCGCAATGTGTAGCTGTTTATTTGTCCAAACGCCCGCCTCAACAGCCCAACGTGTTGGTTCCCGGTCTTCGAGGCCTTTTCGGATTGCCTGGAGCAACCCAAGTCATCTTGAACCAGGACATCCAAGTCACGTTCGAGAGTTGATCGTTGCAGTATATTCGTTCCGAGATGGTATGAATAGCTGCTCTGATGTCGGATGGAAAGCACCTTGCATTTACTGACGTTGAAATGCAATAAGTTTTGGGTCGACCATTGATACACTGTATCTAAATCACTCTGAAGCACATGTTGGTCGGCATTCGCCTGGATCCTGCGCCAGATCTTGATATCGTCGGCAAACATTAGGAAGTTTGAAGCGATTCCCTGTGCAAGGTCATTGATAAACACCAAAAACAAACGTGGACCTAGAACCGAGCCTTGCGGCACACCACACTCAAGTTGTATGGGCCCAATAAAGAGCTCCGAACTCTGACCACTAATTGCCGTTGAAGTAGAAAGTTGACGATCCAGCTTAAAAGAGGGTCGCCGACACCCGTAATGTTGCAGCTTGGATAGTAGTATCCGATGGTCTAGACGGTCGAAAGCCTTGGAAAAATCCAGGTAGATCACATCAACACCTTCTCCAGCGTCAGCTGCCTCGGTCCAACTACTGCGTGCAATTAGTAAATTAGTTGTACATGACCGCTGTTGAAGGGAACCGTGCTGTTCAGGAGTGATGAGGTTCCAGTTTTCCGGATAGCACACCAGTGCATCGGCAACTATGGATTCCATGACTTTGGAGAGTATAGGAAGAAGGGATACTGGGCGGTAGTTGGAGTGATCAGTTCTGCTTCCACCTTTGTGAATCGGGGTTATTATTCCAAGCTTCCACATGGCTGGGACTTGGTTCTGGTCTAAGCAGCGCTGGAAAAATTGAGCTAAAGGTCCCGCCAGTTGGCTTGCTGGTGCTCCCAATGCCTCTGGACGAATGGTGTCGACACCCGGCGAGCTGTTTGCGTAGAGACGTCAGCTTTTGCAATACAGCCTCTGCGGAAAGAGTGTTCCACGGTTGACAAACTCGAAGGGAAAATAATTTCGGCGGAATCAAGCCGAATGTATTGGGTAGCAAGTTTCACTTTATGAGCTCTCAATTCCGTGTTGCGGCTAAGCTTCAGGAGGTGGCGGCAGGCGTGACCGCGGCTGTTCAATAGCTGGTACGCCAGGATGAGGCCATCGCGTAGACGGCGATATCTTGCGCTGCACATTCCCAAGGCTCTCAGCCGCCTATGGTATTGCAGCTGGGACAAACGGTTCGCATTTTTCGTTGCCCTTCGCCGGCTGGTCTCCACCGCAGCCAGATAGCGTTTTAACCAGGGTTGCCAAGCCTAGATCGCATACTCTACATGGGGCCTCACATATGTATTGAGAATTTGGGGGAACATGGAGGGATAGAACATCTCGAAAGTCCTCCGTAACAGACCACAATGTTGGTTCGCGGTTTTGAACGTCTTCGAGGACTGCGCCGAACAACCGAGATCGTCTTGCATCATCACCCCAAGGTCTCGCTCTTGTGAGGCCGTATTCAGCATTTCGTCTCCAAGCTTATATGCGTACGCGGGCTTGTAGCGGACATTCACGGTTTTGCACTTATCCGTATTAAACGGAAGCAGATTTGCTATTGAACATTCAAAGGTGTGGTCTAAGACCCGTTGCGGCAAATCGTGATCTTCCTGACAGCTGATTGCCCGCCATATCTTGATGTCATCGACAAAAGGCAGAAAATTACGCTTGATGACACTCGCAATGTCGTTACTCGAGAACAATAATAATCGCGGCCCCAACACGGACCCTTGTGGAACACCGCAGTTCACATTAATTGGATCAGAAAATGATCCCCGAACTCAAACCTGAAGGCGCCGTTGAAGGAGGAAGTTTCCGATGCATCCAAGGACAGGGTTCCTAACTCCGTAGGTTTGCAGCTTTTGGAGAAGGAGGAGGTGATCGAGACGGTCGAAGATTTTAGAAAAGTCAAGGTAGATGACATCAATGCCGATCCCACTGTCAGCTATCTCGGTCCAACTGCCACTGGCAGTAAGTAGATTGGTAGTACATGACCAATGCTGACGAGAACCGTGTTGCTCCGGTGCTATGATGTTAGATCATTCGAAGTAGCCCATTACATTCTCAGCTATGCTTGATTCCATCGCCTTTGAGAGCACTGGGAGGAGAATCACTGGGTGATAGTTGGCGGACTCTGAACGGCTGCGTACGGCTATGGTAATGATGCCTTGCTTCCACATGTTAGGGACCTGCTGTTCGTCCAGACATATTTGGAAAAATCTCGTTAATGGTTCAGCTAACCTCGTAGCTGACACCTACAGTGCTTTCGGGGGAATGTTGTCAACTCCAGGAAAAACTATGGGTGCGCAACGATAGCAGCTTCCTCAAAATGGTCGTCAAACTAAAGATGACGTGTGTAAATGCTGGCGTCTGGGACATTGGGACAGGTATGTCATATATGCCGGTAGCACATCGGAAAATGGAAGCATACTGGAACCGTAGAAAGTTAACTGCATCCTCTGCAATTTAAGCTCATCCATCTGCTGATATTAGTGTGAAACCACCACGTTCCACATTCTGGAGGCTGTTCACATGTCTGTACAGAAGCTTTTTGTTAGCATAAAACTTATCCGCTAGACTCTGCTGGTGTACTAAGTTGTCCTCAAGCACAAGTGCGGTACAGTGATTACGACGCACAATAAAGTTACAACAGTTGCCAGGATTAGGGTTCGCTCTATACACATGCCACAAAAGTCGATCGTCGAAAGCAGAGTACGAGGCGGAATATGAAAGGCGGAAATCTCAAAATCCAAGTAACAGTTACTAGCACTGAAAATACGAAGCAGGTGTGCAAATTCCGCTGAGTGAGAAAGCTAAGAAAAATACATAAGACCAGAAGTCCGCATCTTCACAAGAAAAGTGGACAGTCAACGATTCATAAATTGCCCTGTACTCATCATACAGCATAAGCAAGATATCCGATAATGACTCATGAGACATGTAACAGCCACCATGAGCAGCGATTGCCTGTAAAAATTCAATAAAGCATCTGTGCGTTAGACAACACTCCTGGCCATTCGTTGAGGGAACACGTAAAAGTTTGTGACGCGATGGGGAAAATATGGTAAAAGAAAGCGCGAAGCACCTGATTTTGCTAGTAGCAAACAACGCGAATACAAGCCTAGTAGTTAATAAGAAACACTGCGTTGATCCACTACCGAGCCACCACTGTTGAAAACGAGCTCAGGTGAAAGACTTCAGACAAACTTCGGGTGGAAATGCTGTGGTACACAAGTCCACAGCATTTAGCAGCTGGCGATGTGAAGTGAAAGGAAGCATCAAGCACTAAGAGAGATAAATCCAACGTTGGACATTATATGTTGTTCACAAACAGCATCTGGAGCAAATCCAAGCCACATGGCGGACAAACACCTGGGCAAGGTGTATTAGGTAAAACCAGCGCATAACCCGATGAGAAAAGCAGAGGCGTAAAGATGTTCCAAACAGATAACAGTTCATGGGGCTGAGTTGGCCATTTGAGCAACAACTGGTCAAAAAACAAACGATTCAAGGAACGAATACAGCGTAATACATCAGATAATAAGCGCTCGGATGCAAGGAAATCATGAGCAAGCTCTTTGTAACATTGCGAGAATTACACAGATATTTTGCTGGGCCTCTCGGGAAAAAGAGAAAAGCACGGCAGATTACTCATGTCCACAAGCGCAAACAAGTCAAAGATCGTAGGTTAAAAGTAATTTACCTAGAAGCAGTATTGAACGATAGGTTGCACGATTCGAAAGCATCCACGCGAAGTCAAATGGTGCGTGAAATCAACACAGTTCAGATGGAAAATAGGCTTAACAAGAAGAACCAGTAATGAATCCGAGTGTGGGGACAAAGTGTACAAGCATGTTACCAATGTCACGAGGGCATGACGACCGCATTTAATCATTGCAAACATGACGAGGCAAAATGCGGTTATATTATAACACCCATGCCCAACGCATCGAAGAGCTGGCGCTCACCCTCGTCCACAAAAGATCTCAGTAATACTCCGGAACTTCATACCGAAGTGTCGCTGCCACAAAGCAACATCAGAGGCCGCATATATGATGGGATGTTATGAAGTCGCCTGCATAGAAGCAAATTGAAACGATGGTCTATGGGTAGCAGGTAAAGCAGCCGAGCTAATGCGCTGATAATGATTTCAAAACAAGCTGGAAATTCTTTAAAGTCCCATAGAAACTGTGGCACATTATGGAAAAAGCAGTGAAAATGGAACAATAAGGAACAAACGTTTCTGCACCTCGACGCGATCCAAACGACGAGAGTGCGATCAACATCTACTCCGCATCGTACGCCACGGTCGATAAGTAACGATCATCATATAAAGAAAACCCCACACGTCCAGTGCCTTCATGAAGAATCCTTGAGCAAGAAGTGCATGATAATAGCTATTCAGGTCCGAGTAGGATCCAATGGTAATTCACAAAATCGGCCTGAAGGTTTGACGATAGAGATCCCGATAACGTAAGAAGGATGACATGATCCAAGCAGCGTTCCACCACTTGACATAGTCGTTCAAAGCAGCGGCTTCATTCCAATCTGCATCAAGTTGCAACACAAATTTGAAACATTTCGCATCCCCAGTTGCTATGTCCACCTCAACGTAGCCCTGGAGAACATCAAAGTAGTCTATTTCCGATCCGCAATTTGCCACAACATAACACTTGGATACATCCACGGAAACCACCTACCGCTTACTATACTCAACATCAGAAAAAAAGAGAAGTTACGGGGGTGAATAGAATAAGTGTTCATTCGTATGCTCGTAATCTGCTAGTGTGACATGGCCAGTCGTATTTGTCTCATCAAAAGGTGTTGAACAAACAAAACGGCGCAAAATGGTATTCGACACTATCGTCAAGCACAGGGTGGGTTTTCCAACAAGAAGCCCACTGTCCGCATTAAAAACAAAAAACATCCCCTTCCGGAATACAGGATACATCAAAAATAGGACAGAGATCACAATTCAACAATTCGAGCGAGAAGCTGATGCCAGCTGGCTGTTCACGAAGATCAGTGACTGAATCCACATGCGAACTACAAGGAAGGAATTGGTACGGGACTGGAAAATCAAACTTGGGATTAAAATACACAGCACACCATCACGTCTAGGGTTTCTGAAAACCATCGGCTAACAACACTCGAGTGCGTCTATGCATGGTCGTGAGATCTTAAACATGCAACTAATCCTGTCAGAAATGGCGATCATCTCAAGTTAGCCTCAGTATCATAATCGAAAACACGAGGTAAGCTATCGATTAGTGAGTGCATCTACCTAAACGAAACAGATAACCAGCCAAAATCGGAGTGGGTTTCAACAATCCAAGAGCAAAAAAAAATTGCAATCTCAAGCTCTCATTGCACTGTCAACCAATGACACGGAATGGTCAAGTCGGCCACCTTCAGAACAACACAAATATGGTATACGGGGCTGGTGAAAACAATGCGATCCCAAGGGAATCGACAGCGGTTCCTAGGTTACCGAGATAGGTGGCCAGTTAGATAATATTCACAGTAGGGAAGAAAGTTAGAAGGAAAGTCAGGAACGATAGCTATGTAATAAACTGTCAAAGTGCCACTGCTGCATACCTTCCGCGTTCCCCCTCCCACATCCTGGAAGGAGCCACTAATACAGAAAGCCAAGGGTGAAGGGCTCACATGAAGCCGCCATCAGGAATCACCAAGTGAAACGAAAAGTGTACGTCACCTGCGTGCCACTTAAGAGGACGAGATGCTTACATGGAGTTTGTGCTTAACCGTTCAAAAGCGCTGTCCATATGGGCCAAACGCAAGCAGATAGGTGCCTTCACAAACAACCGGCTGCATTAGTGCCCAATAACAGGTGTATGCGTAATTCTGTGTGGAAAGTGTTGACACAGTTACGCCTTGGCAACATTCCTCCACGTGATATGCTTGCACCAATAGGCGACCCTCATTGCTGGACATCCTGCACTACAGGTGACCACAGCTTCCGCAGGTGCATGGGGTGAGCGTACATGGCGATGATATGTGCATGGATAGTGATCGCGTCGTCTGCAACGCGGTGGCCTATGGCTTAGACGCCATTCACGAGTAACTGAAGAAGCACCTGCTTTGTCAGGCGTATTTTTCTAAGGGAACGCTGCATTGAAATCAGTTGTAAAATCATTCTGGTGGTTGTGTCCGGGAACCGCACCGCGGGTACTGACATTCACATCACCCTTCAGCAGCCACTTGGCTATCGGAGTGGTATTATGGAAACGGATTGTAGTGGTATCATTCAAACGGATTGGAGTGGTTGCTCAGCAGGGAAAACAAAGATACGGGGACCGCTAACTTTATGAAAGGCACACTCACATGTCTCTGCATGCGGCATGTTGGTACACTCCTGGCTGATCTTGTGAATGCTATCTTAAAGGTGTACAGAATGCGTCCATTCCACGAACTGCTCACAATATGAGGCGTTTATATATATATATATATATATATATATATATATATATATATATATATATATATATATATATACCCCCGAAAGAGGTGTAACTAACCCGTGGGTTCCTTTTATCATCAGCACATCTGGACACCCAGGTATGTAGATCCCACACTTCCACTTTCAAAACGCTGTGCTCTACTAAATTACGGAACATCCGGTTTCAGGTTCCAAGGACATTCCCACCTACTGCCTTGTGCGCAAGCATCTCAAAGGTCCGTGGGAAACTAAAGTGATAAGCAGCACATGGCTACAGTCCGGAGGGGATGTTGCAGCGATTCCCTCTATACGGCCACGAGAATACGTAAACGCCTTGAGCAGGCACAGGCCGCCGGCTGTGAGCGACCAATTACATGAGGTGACCGTGTGACGCCGCACCGGTATGTTCAAGTGGTGGTAATACCAAATACAAGGGATCTCGACTACGCATTGTTTCTTGAGCGATTCAACATACCGGCATCACACTTGACACATACGGATAACACAGTAGCCCTGGATTCATCCAGTATGCATGCAGGGTATGTACACCGACATTGTTTTATTCTGACACAAATACAGGAACCGGGAAATCTTGGCGGTATGCAATGATGTGGAAAACTTACACCCGTCGAAACGACAAAAGCGCGAAGCCGCTTTTTTCAGGAAACCACAGCGCTCCACCCTTTTCTACCGACTACATCCACCCCTATCGTGGGAGACGATAGCATATATTCCGGGTACGCCAAGCTCGGACCTGAAACAGTCGGTACGTAAAATGTTCCATCCATCTACTTGTCAGCGTCTCATGATGTAATGCAGGTGCATTTAGATGGACGAAAGACAAGCAACAATGACCCTGGTGGTAGGTTGAAAGAAGAAACAACTTTTTATGTCTTCCGAAATTCCAGCTACAATCTCATCTATACAGGCCGTTCCAAGTACACAGTCACCCACTTCACGTAAGTTGCCGTTACTACTTACTCACTTGCATATAACTTCCCGCATTGGTGCCAGGATGTTCTGCGGACGTATGACATGTACAATCAGATGATGCAGCAAATGCTTCGTAGACTTGCCAGCGTTTTTTCCTTGAATGATACTCCTGAACAGACAGACAACCAGAACCTGTTGGCAAAAGAGGTAAGCTGCCTGACCAAAAGCGTGAACGCCATGGCTGAGCAAATGAATCATTTTGTACGCCAAATCTAAGCTGCACTGCCCCTTCCACTATGCAGAGTGAAATAGATGACGTCATTTGACGCATCTCTATCTACGCAAGAAAGGAAGTAACACTTTGCAAGACGCATTGTAAATAACAATCTCCGTCATTAGAAGCCATTCCAACTAAAAATACCCGGCGACACACATGCCAAAGCAACTGCGGGAATTCGGGAGACGATGTTCTCGCCAAATTGGGGTATCGATAATGTGTTCGCATTCCGACGTAGATCCATGTACCGGTGCTTCAAGAGGAACGGCGACTTTATTCAGCATGAACATCAACAACAGCGCATAGATATTTTATATTACTGATAGAATCCGAGTAGCTCGCAAACACTTCAGTGCCCCCCCGATGTGAGCATTCCGCAAAGGCCTAATGGACGAGTCAATTAATGTCCCATTGAACGCACGTGAGCTCACCGGTGTACGCTTTCGGCGGAGCAACCATGTAGCATACTTTAAAAATTCAACCTGGCGCAACAGAAATTACACGGCGCTGAATTGTACAGTGCCGTTTTGTT